GGAACATCGATAAATCACAAGACACCTGACTACTATGATTTAAATGCGTCAATGTTTATGTTTGCGTAATTATTACGAGTGCAACGCATTATAAAGTCGGTAATATAAATTACTTGAGTTTGCGTAATTATTATGAAAGCATTACAAAGTTGAAATATTCAGAGCCAGTACAATATTGTAAACAAATTTGCGTAATTAGAAAAGCAGTGCACCATGTAAATGATGTTGATATATGCAAAGCCAGAATTGCAGACAAGTTATGTGATTACTGTATCGTCGGATATAATAACAATTTTACTAGACCGATGCATGGAGCACGAAAAAAAAAGGTTGCTACGGTAACGGTAACTTTGGTCAACACACACTTGATGTCAGCAGTATCGCCGCGCAGCAACAGTTTGTAAAGAAGTACATGTACTTGAAGTTCAGTTGCGCCCAACATGATTTTGCTGATTACTCGGTTGACTTTGGCTTGCTTTTCCTTCTTGTTCACGTAATGCGATCTCTCACCAATGTATTAAAACACTTCGAATTTATACTTCGCATGATTATATTTGGTCAACGCGAAACATCATTTTTTCTGAACGTTTTCTGAAACCATTTTTATCAGTGCAGGGTTATTTGTCCGGACAAGATGGGCTTCGTAATATCTGCCATAACATTGCCTGGGCGATCTTTTGGTCCACATTTTTTTTAAAAAAACATCAAATCCTCCATAAGATTGCCCAGGGCGGGGTATCAGCCGAATCCGGTATAACCTTTTTCATCCCTGTCTTGGCACAGCCTGAAAACAGGAACTTGTGGGTTAATCTCTGAGATCTCTGTCAGTCCATCCATCCTAAGCAAGATCTTTGTGGTGTATGACAGATTTCATTCAAACTCTGTACATACATTGAACATTATGAAACCTTATTTTTCAGATCAAATTAAAAATGGCTGACTGGTATGTATGTGGTTCAGGGGCTGTATCATTCACATGCCTCGACTGATCATTTTTAAACTTTATATATGTAACGGCTTGTTATACTATATGCATATTTGTTTTGACAATCAGCTTCAAGATTGCTGAATGATGGCCATTTTAAAGCGCGGCTCCGCAATCCCAGCAGTTGCACCAGTGCATTATGGGAAATGTAATTTGCATGGTATGCCCAGTTGTTTACTTGGTACACAGCTGTTATCATTTGAACTGAAGGTGTTAATTCCGTAAGCTAACATCATGCATTACGCTATTATCTGATTTGAAACAACGGGGCCCCCACAATCTATTCAAAGCAGTGTTCTTAGGGAAGAGTAGGAAATCAAACGGGCGGTTCACCGCGGTAATCACCGCGGTACACCGGGGAGAGCCGCGGACTGCTTATAATTAGGGGTCTCCACCGCGGTGGCCACCGATACTGGTTGCAACCGCGGTCGTAGGAAAGGTGTGAAATACGTACTTAACAGTTTCCTTTGTGATTCCATGAGTCTTTGTTTCAAATAGCTGTTTTTAAATCGAGCAGGTTACGAGCATTGCTGGCATGGAAATACTGAGCATATGATAATATTATCGGCTCACGTATTTTATTAATATAAAAATCCACAAGTCCAATGCTGTATACGAATTGTTGTTGCGTGAAACAATGTTGTATTCTATGCATGTATTTATCACGAATTCCAAGAGTAAAAGTAGTAACTTTCGAAGGTACGAGTATTATGACTCATCCATACATTTTACTTACGTTTGTTACACTTGAATAAAGTTTACCACATGAAAAGAATGTTATTTACGAAGTTTTAAATAGCCAAGCCTTCCTGATTCGAGCCTCTTGTTGATTTGACAACGGTGGGTATCATTAATGTTTATTCTTTGCCAGTATCGCATTCCAGACAAAAAGTTCAAGATCGGTAAACAAGAAATGGACGAACTAAAATGTCTCTTGTGTTTCACGTGCGACATGATTATTAAAAAACCAGAGTTAAGCGGTCATGTACGTTCTATAAATCTAACCTTGCACACATAATCTTGTATTGACGTGTTTTTTTTTTTTGGTCAAAAACGACGTTGCCTTTCAGTTAACTCTTCGCGAGAGTTTACCGATTTTTTGAACAAATGTTAAGTAACTATATCGTTTTGCGTCAAACTGGGTGGCCCGAATTTAAATGTCAGTGCGTGAACTCATTGAGGTCATTGCCACACGTAATTCAAACACGTGGTTATTAGAGTTCAGTCGAAATGTACGTGAATAATGCGATCGAAGTGCGCTGCGAGTTTATTATAGAAAAATTTAACATTACGCATGATATTGTATGTTATTGTATGGTTAATATTACATATTCACTTTATTTCGAATAAAATAATTCACCGATGAGTCACAAGTATTTAAAATATTTTCTCGACTTTCGTTAGACACCTGACTCCGGGACCTGACTATCTTTTTCAATGATTTACTAGTAAATGCGTCCATGTTTATATTTGCGTAATAATTACGAATGCAACGCATTATCAAGTCGGTAATAATGAAATATTCACAGACCCAATAGCCCGGGTTAGTGTCCCAACAATAATAAAAATAACTTAGTTTGCGTAATTATTATAAAAGTAATGCATTGAAATATTTAGAGCCCGTCCAATACTGTAAACATATTTGCGTTATTAGAAAAGCAGCACACTAAGTAAACGATGTTGAAATATTCAACACCAATACAGAGTTGGATACAAGTTGTGTTATTACAGTACCGCCGGATATGATAACAAATTTACGAGATCGACGCGCGGACCAAGAAAGAAAAGGGTTGCTAAGGTAACGCGCCAGTTCAGTGCGTAACTTGGGGTCAAACTTCGGTCAACACACACTTGATGTCAGCATCGCCGCGTAGCAAGTTTCGCAACGTACTTGAAGTTCAATTGTGCCCCAAAATGATGTCGACGATCACTCAATTGTCGCAACGCATGTTGTACCAAGTCCATGATACACCCCGTTTCGACTTTGGCTTGCTTTTTCTTCTTAGTGCATGTTCTTGTTCACGTAAATGCGACCTCTCACCAATGTATTAAAACACTTTGAATTTATACTTATGCGTGATTATATTTGGTCTACGCGAAACATTAATCTTTCTAAACATTTTCTGAGACCATGCATGATATATATTCACAAAATAATGCGATCTTATTTTATATTATGTTGATCTCTACGTCTTTCTGGATCGTTTTGTGATTTTATTCCAAAGCTCAGGCAAATAAAATAATGTGAACTATTATAGACTAGTTTCCTAGCTTTTGGCTCAGCCAAATTGGTTTAATTTTTCATTAGAACTTTGTGATCCTTTTAATTTCCCAGTTCTTTGTGTTCATTAATGGTCTTGACAATAAGTGTAAATTGCTGTGCGAGCCCACCGCACATGACCGCGGTAAACCGGGGTCATGGAATCTATGCATAAATTTGCATAAAATGCAGTCGACCGGCGAGCACCCACCACCACCACGGTAATGACCGCGGTGCACCGCCCGTTTGATTTCCTACTCTTCCCTTACTTGCATCATAGAGCTCCTTATTTAGTTCTGTGCTTGCAACAAAAACTGTGGTTTATTTGAATGGCATACACAATGTATAGTATCGCACAGTACAACATGTGCCATAATGTGTCTTGTCGGCTAGGCAATAATGATGTTATGCGACAAATTAAAAAAACAAAACAAAAATTTCGTAATACGTACTGCTGTGTGGTACGGCATACCCAGTTGCCCGACACCAAATATACACGAATATATGTGCGAGTCATATGTTACAGAACAGGGACACGCATACCCTTTTTACGCCATGTTGTTGGTCAACAATCATTTCATTGCGGGGAATATAGTTCAGGGAACATAACATTTTTTGCAGGATCTTTCAATTTCTTTATTTCGAGACATATTTATTCCAGAAGCAGGTTTAATCTGTGTGCCTATAGGTTTCAAAGATTAACTCAAGACAAAGCAATGTTAGGATGTGTTATCAGTAGCTATCTGACACACAATGAGTGTTTCCAAACATTTGAGCGGTTTGTCTCCGCCCCTGTTTATTTCACAGATTAGTCATTTGCATATGAATGTGTCAGACACAAGGTCACACAGCCACTGAAAAAAAATCGTTGATTTTGGTGTTTTCATCTGCCGATTTTATCCAATTATAGCTATCCCATTCCTTTATTTTTTTGGTTTCCAATAGCCTTACACATTTGGATGCCCCTACACATGTTAAAGCAGACCTTGATGGGAAAACAAATTGATTGTGCCGATAAACAAGCTTGAAAATCTTTGCTGTTACTTCATGGACGTTTTCTAGGAGTTTATGTTTTTCAAAATACAAGGTCTTTAACAAAAAATAACGTATACTTATTGTCGTCGGATTAACACCAAATTTTCACAGCTTTAAGGTGACAGTGAGAGGAACTCGAA